GCTGCTGTGTCATAACAGCATATCCAGGGGTAATATTAATATTGTGCTGCTGCAGCAGATGTCTAGTAACAGCAAGTAGCTGCTTGCAGCCAAGAGGTATCTCCTGCTGCAGCCGCTGCAGCAAATATCCTTCCTGTACAGCAGCAACGCTGCAGTTGCTGTGCCCAACATCGCATACAACAGCAGATGTTCGCGCACAACCAAAGGCAGCTAACACCGCCTTTTTTACCAGCAGCAACTCAGATACCTGCAGCAGCAGCAGCAGCAGCAGCAGCAGCAGCAGCAGCAGCAGCAACAGTAGTTAAGCATCAGGTCAATCACAACCAACAGCAGCAGCAACAGCAACAGCATCAACAAGCAGCAGCAGCAGCAGCAGCACCGCACTGCTCAACAGAAACCACCATCACAACCACCACCATCACCACCATCACCATCACCATCACCACCACGAGCAACAGCAGCAACAGCAGCAGCAACAGCAGCAGCAGCAGCAGCAGCAGCAGGAGCAGCAGCAGCAAACCTTTAAAGTCTCGAATGCGATTTCAGCAAAAGTTTGTCGAATTTGTGAATTATGAAAATTTGGTTCCGAGAGGATCAAACCTCTCCCTATAAATCCACCACCTCCAGCAGCAGCAGCAGCAGCAGCAGCAGCAGCAGCAGCAGCAGCAGCAGCAGCATTAGTAGTAGTAGTAACCCCACCAAATAAACACATATTATGATTATTATTATTATTTATATTATTATTATTCATTGTTAATAATTGTAATGATGATCCAATTATATTGCTATTGCTATTACTACTACTGCTGCTGCTGCTGCTGCTGCTGCTGCTGCTGCTGCTGCTGCCCAAACAACGAGGACCTGTTAACTCCTCTGCTAAACGTTCAAAACCCTGCAACAACAGCAGCAACAGCAGCAACAGCAGCAGCAACAACAGCAGCAACAACAGCAACAACATGATGGATAGGAAGAGGAATAGTAAGAAGAATAACAATAATAATGAGGAAAAGAAGGAAAGAAATAATAACATCAATAAAAACACAAATATTAACAGAAAAGTAATCAACTATACTAATTGATATACAGCAACAGCAGCAGCAGCAGCAGCAGCACAACCACCACAACCACCACAACCACCACAACCACCACAACCACCACAACCACCATCACCATCAGCACCATCACCATCAGCATCAGCAGCAGCAGCAGCAGGAGCAGGAGGAGCAGCAGGAGGAGGAGGAGGAGGAGGAATTACCTGTCTATTTAGTATATAGGTACCTGGTTGATCATGATATGTTGCCTTATAATCAAAGACGGGCAATACCTCAACATGATCTGTTTTCTCTAATGGGTTAAGGAATTGCTGCAGCAATACAGCTTTTGTTGCTGCTGCTGCTGCTGCTGCTGTTGCTGCTGCTGCAGAAGAAGAAGAAGATGATGATGATAAGGATATACCATTACTATTACATCCATCTGCTCCTGCTGCTGCTGCTGCTGCTGCTGCAGCTGCAGCAGCAGAACCACCTAACCCGTCACCTACTGCTGCTAGACCTATAACAGAACGAGTAACAACTTGGGGCAAAGCTTCCCCAGCAATTCCTGCCTTAAGAGAATGGCAACCTAAATCTAATACTAATGGGGGCAACATTTTCCTGCTGCTGCTGCTGCTGCTGCTGCTGCTGATCCTGCTGATCCTGCTGGTGGTGGTGGTGGTGGTGGTCGTGGTGGTGCTATTGATGTTGTTGCTGCTGCTGGTTATGGTGATGGTCGTGCTGCTGCTGTTGCTGCTGCTGATGGTGTTGGTGGCGGTAAAAGTGTTATACGTTATGCTAATGATGTCTTGGATGATGCTGCTAATACAGCTGCTGCTGCTGCTGCTGCTGCTGCTGCTCTTGCTTCTCTTCGTGCTTCTATGGATGCAGCGCCTGCCGCAGAGGCAGGGGCCAGCGTTGTTGTTGTTGTTGTTGTTGTTGTTGTTGCTGCTGCTGCTGTTAAATTATGGCCGTAGTTTTAGCAATTAATATTTGCTGCTGTTATTGAGACGTTTGCTGCTGCCACGATAGCAGCAGCAACTGCTGCAGCCGTAGCAGCAGCAGCAGCAAGGGGGTCAGGTAATGATGCCTCAATGTATCCTGTCTAATGGCTTGCTGCTACATATGTGGGGTGTATATACACCATAATACAGCAACATACACCTGCAGCTTAATTGCTGCTCTCCCTCTGCTGGCAACTCTGCTTGTGCTGCTGCTGTTGCTGCGGAGGCGGCTGCGGCTGCTGCTGCTGCTGCTGCTGCTGCTCCGTTGACAAGGCATAGAGAGGATTCCAACAGAAAAATATAAATATAACAGCAAAAGAAAGGGCATCCCTTTTGCTGATTGTCTGCTGCAGCTGAGGTGGCTGCATGCAGCCGCTGCTGCAGCAGCAGCCCCTGCTGCTGCTGCTGCGGCAGCGGCTGTCCCCACCGACCGCAGCAGCAGCCATGAGCCTGCCGCGGACCTTCGAGCCCATGCTGCTGCTGCTGCTGCCGCTGCTGCTGCTGCTCTTGTCTCACCATTCAGCAATAAATTTCTTTATATATTTTTAATGTAAAGTTGTTAGATCTTAGGAATAATTGGTGACGTATTTGTTGCTGCTGCTGTTGCTGCTGCTGCTGCTGCTCTTGCTGGCCTCCTCGTAGCCTGGTGACCACCGCCGACTCGGGCAGCAGCATACACAGCGGTCTTCCTGCAGCAGCAGCAGCAGCAGCAGCAACAGATCTTGTCATTTTTTATGCAGGTTAACTTCTTATCTAAATACTGCAGCAAGAGCAGATGCTGCAGCAGCAGCAGCAGCAGCAGCAGTTGCTTCCTTCCGTGCTCGAGAAATCGAAGCAGCACAACCACAGCAGCAACGACTAGAGCAGCAACTGTGCAGCAGCAGCACGAACAGCAGCAGCAGCAATTATACAAACAGCAGCAGCAGGGTGCAGATATGACGAATTCTTTTTTTGTCTTCCTCTGTGTCTGGCGGTTAAGAAATAATGTGCAGCAAAAGCTGCTGCTGCTGCTGCTGCTGCTGCTGCAGCTGCTGCAGCTGTCATCATTCAGCCGCGTTGCAGCAGTACAAAATGCACGAGAAGATCTCTTTGCTTCCTCCCCTGACGATACAGCAGCAGCAGCAGGAGCAGGAGGAGAATCAGCAGTAGCAACAACATCAGCAGCAGCAGCAGGAGCAGCAAGAGCAGCAGCAGCAGCAGCAGCACACAGGCCCCTTTCTCTGCACTTCCCTGAGGTTAAGGAACTTATGCGTATTGCCTCTGGCTTCTCCCGTCCTTCTTCTCCCCTACACGAGTACGAGGAAGTAAGAGGAGTGCTGCACTCGTTGCTGCAGCAGGCACGAGTGTATCAGCAGCAACTGCTGCAGCAGCAGATACAATTGCAGCAGGAAAGACAAACATATGCAGAAAATCTTAGTAGATTCAATCTTCCTTCTATGCATGCATCTGCTGCTGCTGCTGCTGCTGCTGCTGCTGCTCCTCAATTTATTCTTGATAAAATTCCTTCTTATGTCTTTGGTGGATTATCCGTCTTATCTTTTAGTTGCCGTATACATACCAGCAGCATCAGCAGCATCAGCAGCAGCAGCAGCAGCAGCAGCATCAGCAGCAGCAGCAGCAGCAGCAGCAGCAGGAGGAATAATGAGGGTGAGCTATCTGTGCTGCTGTGTAGCGGCAAGCCACCAGCAGGACATGGATCCCTGCAGGCATCCTTTGGGTTCCAACTAGTAGATGGTGGCTTCCCCCCAATAGAAGCAGCAGCAGCAGGAGGAGCAGCAGGAGCAGCAGCAGGAGCAGCAGGAGGCGCAGCAGCAATAGGAGCACCAGCACCACCAGGTACACCAGCATGTAAGATAAAATTAAAGAATTATAAAAGAGAAGAAATATATTTATATGGATATATAGAGGCAGCAATAGGTATATGTATTGCTGCTGGATATAATAATCAGGTGTACGTACACCCCAATCTATCATCTCTTGAACATTTTATTGATCTTTTTCCTGATAGTATTTTATTACTTAATTTTTTATCTATTTCTTCTCGTTATATTGATTATGGTGAATCTATACCTATTGTTGCTATTAATCCTAATCCTTTACCTGCTTCTCCTGCTGCTGCTGCTGCTGCTGCTGCTGCTGGTGCTGGTGTTAGTACTAGAAGTGCAGCAGCAGCAATTGCAGCAGCAAAAGAAGCAGCAAAAGATGCAGCAGCACAAGGAGGACCTGCAACACTTGATCATGATCCATCTAAGAGGCAAACATCTGTTGCTGATTTACTACCATGGGAGCCTGTGCATGCAGCAACATGGTTAGGTGTTGCTGCTGCAGCAGAACCATTTGCTGCTGCACTAGATAAGATTGCTGATGGACTGCAGCAAGCTATACTAACAACAGGAAATACAAAAGGAATAGAGGATAAATGTTCTATTGAATTAGGATTAAGGGAGCAAGACTTTGCTGCATTTGCTGCATTTGCTGCAGAGAATACAGCAGCAAGACCATTAAGTACCAGCAGCAGCAGCAGCAGCAGCAGCAGTAGTAGTAGTAGTAGTAGTGGTACAAGTTGTAGACCTGGGGGTTTATTAGTAGAGTGTGCTCGTGAGCTGCAGCAGCAACAATATTCATCAACAGCTCGTCGTTTGTTGCTGCTGCTGCAGGAGCAATTAGCAGCATCTATACCAGCAGCAGCAGCAGCAGAAAGTAATCGTATGCTGCACATGATTCGTCGTCCTGGTGTATGGTGGCTGCTGCAGCGTCTATTAGGGGGCAACGGAGCAGCAAGACTAGAGACAAAGGAGCAAAAAGAATATTATAATAATAATATGAAGAAAATAATATATAAAAATTATAAAAAATATCCATTTAATATAATGAAAAAACGCATGCAGCCCCAAATTCGGCGCATGCAGCCCCAAACTTTTCGATCCGAAGTACTACGATTCAGTACCCTGTATCTAGATCTTTTATCTACTTATTCTTATTGGGATTCTTTTCCTATTCCTTGTTTCTTTAAGAATATTAAATTAGTTGATACATTAGGCTCTGTATTCCATAGATATATACCTGATGAACCTTATAGATTAGCTGCAGCAGCAGCACAAGCAGCAGCAGCAGCTGCTGCTGCTGCTGCTGCTGCTGCTGCTCAAGGTCCTTCGAGTGAGCAACAGAGCAAATACCAAGGCCGAGATGCTGAAGATGAATACTCACAGCAACAACAGCAGCAGCAACAACAGCAGCAGCAGCAGCAGCATAGAGGGAGGAGAAGGATTCGTCGTAGAGGACGAGGTGTACGTAAGAATGTATCTATGCTGGAGACAGCAGCAGCAACAGATATATTATGGTCAACAGCAGTAGGTGAATATGCAAAGAAGAACGATGCAGCAGCAGCAGCAGCAGCACATCAGCTACCAACAGGTTTGCTGCTCAAGCCTATTCAGCCAATATATGAATATACAGATCTAGAGATGTTAGCGGATTCCTTAGAGAGCAGCAGCAGCAGCAGCAGCAGCAGCAGCAGTACTAGTAGTAATAGAGCAACAGAAGAAGAAGAAGAAGAAGCAATAAGAAGAAGAAGAAGAAGATTATGGATAAATAATCCAATATTTATAGGTAATTCAGGTATATTAATAAGAAAAGTACCAGGAAAAAAAAAAGGAATATATTATGATTTATTTATTATATGTAATAAAGGAGGATCTTTTCCTATAACTAAATCTAATGGTAGTTGGTTATCTTCTTATCTATGTGAGCCTTATTATAGTCCTAATGGTGCCCCTCCCTCCCTCTCCCTTCCCCCTACTACTACTACCATCAGCAGCAGCAGCAGCAGCAGCAGCAGCAGCAGCAGCAGCAGCAGCAGCAGGAAGAGGGAATGGGGAAATATACCAAGAAGGAGGAGTATAGGGATAGAATTTGAATTAAATAGACCTAATCGTTGTGGTGTAGGTTATCTAGGTGACGAGGAGAATAAGGAAGAAATAGAGATAAGAGGAAGAATATTATTAATTATTTTTTCTTCTTTTTGTATAATTAATGGATATAATATACATTATTTATTAGATAATGCATATAATATATATACACAAGAATTAATTAAATATTCATTAGCTATTGAGCATGCATCTACTTATTATGAATATAATTCTTCTTTTTTTTTCTCTATAGATACAGTATTACAGCGTAGTACCCCAACACCTTGTATAGGCTTCCCTAGCACCACCATTACCACCACCAGCAGCAGCAGCAGCAGCAGCAGCAGCAGCAGCAGCTTATATTCAGGGCTATGTGTACTAAGTACAGACTTGCTGCAGTCCCCTGGCTTCGATCCTTCTGTCTTATTTTATCTTCGTGATGAATCCTTTAGTATATTATATCAATTAACATTTGATTGTCGTGCTGCAGCATGGCATGGCTGCAGCAGCAGCAGCAGCAGCAGCAGCAGCAGCAGCAGCAGCAGGAGGGGTAGTAGGGGTATAAGGGAGTTCTATCCTTTGCTGCAACAAATGCCTAATGGGCAATGTGCCTTCGAGGCACACCATCTATGGCAACAATTAACAAAAATGAATAAAAAAAAGTGCGGATTAGGTAAGAGGATAGGGGAATGCCATAAATGGATAAGAGATGAATTAGGGTGTACATACACCAGAAAAAAAGGATGTATTTATTTACAATTTATTTATTCTTTCTTTATTTATCCAGGTGCAGATCCTACTATTAAGATACCTATACCTGTACAAAATTATTGGGATATAATTAGTCGTCAATTACTGCAGCAAGAGGCAATAGATCCTCGTCAATTATTGCTGCAGTTGCTGCAGCAAGAAGTTGCTGACTGCAGCAGCAGCAGCAGTATAATCACCACCACCACCACCACCAGCAGCAGCAGCAGGAAGCAACTAACTTGTCATGATATACATAGAGATGCAGATACACTACAAGATATATTTATGCATGCAGGTCTTCTTCTTGATCTAACGGGTCTCCCTCAATTCTGGGTAACACGTAGGGGTACAGCAGCAGAACCACCACCAGCAGCAGCAGCAGCAGCATTACCTGCACCTGCAGCAGCAACAGCAACAGCAACAACAGATGCTGCTGCTCCTCCTGTAGGTACCAGCAGCATAGTATGTCCTGCATCCTATGCATGGGAATTCATAGGACGCATGCAAGGACAATTATATAAAGGAATGGATGTATCCTCTGTGTATTATCTGCAGCAAATACAGCCCCATGCGCATGCAGTATATACACCGTAATAATATTCATCAAGGAGACACCACCAGCAGGTGCTGCAGCAGCTCCTGCTGTTTATGCTGCTGCTGCTGTTGCTGTTGTTGCTGTTGCTGCAGCAGCAGCAACAGCAGAGCGAGAGGGCTATTGTCTCAATGTATTCAATTCTTTGCCCTTAATTATTTATAATGTAGTAAATATATATTATATATTTTGTTTATTATATATATATATAT